AGCCAAAACCCGAAACCCTAGAAGCCCTGGAATGAGCAATACCGAGTGAATAGACTCAGGTAACAGCGGAGCGGCGGGTCCTTGTTGAAGCCGCTTGCCTTCAGCTGCTCTACCAAGGCCGCCCTTTCCGTGCCTCCCCTCATATAAGCGTCGTGGATGTACTTGGGCACGGCAAATGTCCTTAGTTGAGAGTATACATATTTCAAGCTGAGACCCAAGCCCGACATCTACATGGATAATTCACACCCAGGGCTCCCATTCTTGCGTGGCTGGCACATCCGATACAGCCTTTTTTTCGCGGCTGCATCGGAGGGATCGCTCTCCCCACCCTCGAGCTCAACTTGCCCATCCTTCATGTCGCGGATTTCATCAATAGCCTTGTCCAGCTCCATACGGAGGTTGCGGTTTTCAACATCCTTAGCGGCATTCTCTTCTTCGAGAGATGCCACCTTCATCAGCAAATCCTTAATCATGTTCTGCTCGGAATTGCCTTCGACGGAGCATCCTGTGCCACCCTGCAGCTCGCGAGTTAGAACACATAAACGAATCTACACCAGATCATGCATGCACACGAGCATATATGCACTTGTGAGAACCCTTGCCTCGCTCTTCGGTGGGCTTGTGAATTCGAGACGCTTTGGGGCCAATGCTTGCTTCTTGAGAACCTTCTCTGGAGTCGTTTCGGAAGTCTGAGCCACGTGAGGCACCGGAGCCTGGTTGGCCAAAGACGCTCGGCGAGCCTTCAGCTCCTCAATACGGCAAACCAGGCCCTATGTAACGTCATGCAGGCTTTTATATGAGGACTTCTGATATATTCATATACGAAGGGTTTGTCTAGGATTTCCCAGGGGTTTGTAGACACTGCAAGGGTCCTCTAGCTTCTTCGTCATGTCATCGAGAGACTCAACGGACTCCTGGGAGTCCTCTTGCTTAACCTGCTGCGCCGAAATAGCACGCTTTCCTGCATCCAAAGATGTTGTGCTGAAGGTCCTGCTCTGAAGCTGGATGTGACCCTCCATTGCGCTGCACTGGCGTAGGCTTTAAAAGACTTGGGAAGCACAGCCTCCTGCAAATGCTCTCGTGATGCAGAAGCACTGAACCCATCCGAGTATATATATATATATATGCATACATACATATAAAATACATAATATATATATATATATCCACCACCCCCAGCACACCCCCACCACACCCCCAGCCCCCAGCCCCAGTGCCCAGCACCCCCCCCCCCGCTCCAGCCCCTTCTTGGTGCATCCCCCCTATGTATGTATTTATGTATGTTTGTATGATATATATATATACATACATATATATATATATACATACATACGTTTCTGCACACGTGCATAATGTGTATGTGTGTGTGTGTGCGTGTGAGATGTGTATGTGTATGTGCATAAATAATATATATGTATATGTAGCATGCATATATATATATATGCAACTGAGGCACGTAATTGCATGTTATTATTTCTTGGTCTGTGTTTATACATGTGTATGTATATATGCATGTATGTACGTCTAAATCTGTGTGTGCACATATACAATGCCTATACACATGTACTATCTAACCAACCCACTAAATAACAATACATATATATATATACATATATCGGATCTATATATGTGTCTATCTGTATATCAGGCCATGCATATGTGTGTGTACGTATTTCATGCACAAAACCACCTACCAC